GTGGGTCCGGCCTGCCCCCCCACGGGGCCTGGACCCCCCCCTCCCCCCCCATTTGAAGCTCCGTCCCCTGACTTGAAGTCCCGTCCCCCATTTGGAGGCAGGGGTTTGGAAACACAGGAGGGTGTAGCTTTATGCTGTTGGAAAATGTGGGTTTCCCTTGTTTGGGGGGAGGCTCCGGGCTTGAATCTCTCCTTGTAGAAACGCTGACCGCGGCAAAAAATCTGAACTCAAATGTGCAGCGTTGAGCGTGCCAGGTTGCAGCCTCTGCACTTCTCCCTATGCTTCTTTTTTGCGCTCCCCGTCAGTGGCACCTCCAGGTTGGCCTCCCACTGTGAGCCGGAGGCAGCTGTGGCTGGGAGGGCCCTGGGCGAGCGTGGCCTGTCTTCCTGCCATTCCTTCACACGGGTCTCGGAGCGCAGCTCGCTGATTGGCGTCTGCGGGCTCCCTGTGCTCGCTTGGGGGACAGCGGGCACTGGCTGGCGTGCTCTCCCCCGTGTCCCCATGTTAATCTGTGACATCACTCCATGTCCTTCCTCTTTGTCTCCCGGAAATAGTTGGTGTGTCCCCAGTGGCTCCTTACTGTATTCTGTGATGAGCCTCAGCCCATGATCTTTCAGCACATCAAATGAGCCTGTGTCGCACTGTGGCAGAGAGCAGAAGCGGAAAGGGGGAAGGAACTATGTATGGGGGGGTTCCCTTGTTCCTCTCTCGCTTGCAGCCTCCAGTATTTAAGGTCTAGGAGGTCCTGATTTGGCCTCTCACTCCCGTGTTCAACAGCTGCCAATGTCTCCTTTCCTCCACGGATGCGTCCGGTCCCTTTGTGAACCTGGCTAAGCTGTTGGCTCCCACCACATCTGGTGGCAGTGAGTTCCACCCTCTAATAACATGCTTGGGGACCAATAACTTCCTGTTGTTCATTTTAAACTTACCGCTTAGAAATTTTGTGTTGTGATGCCTAGTTCTTGTACGGTGATAGATGGTCCATAATAAATGATCCTAGTTACTTTCTCTTCACTGTTTGGTAGAGGAAATAAATAAGGATTTATTACTTCTAGCAACACTTGCCCAGCGTGGATGATCTTGCTGACAATTTAAGGGTAAACTAACAACAGAAAGTTCTTTTTCACCCAACGTGTCATTAAAGTGTGGTAGAAGTTGATGGGTCAGCCAGGTTCAAAAGGGGACTAGACAAATCCTTGGAGGAAAGGGACACCAGTAGCTATTGAGCATGGGAGGCAGGGGCACAGCCTCTGAACTGGAACTGTTTAGACCCTAAATCAGGGGTGGGCACAATGCAGCCTGCAGGGCCCCTAAAAAATTTAGGAAATTAATATATACCTGTCCCTGGCTGCCTGTCACGTGGCCCTCGATGGCTTGCTGAAACTCAGTAAGTGGCCCTCTGCCTGAAATAATTGCCTGCCTCTGCCCTAAATGCTGGAGGCTGTAAGGGAGAGAGGAAGGGGAGATGCTGGTCAGACCCAGGTCAGTCTCCCTTCCAGCCTGTGTGGCACAAACTGGGCAAGATGGACTGTAGTCTGACCCAGTAAACGGCAATTCTTATGCTCTTATGAATGGCCCTTCAGTGATGCTTTTCAGACAAATATTTATTTAAAAAGCCTTATTCTTCTTGAAGCTTGTGTGGAGATACTGCATCAGTCCTTTTTTCCAGTGTTTTCGGCTGGGTTGGATTCCTCCAGGAGTTTATTCAATACAGTTTATGCTGTTTTAAGTTGAGGCAAATGCTGGTATATGATGGTTTAGATGGGCATGGCTCTGCCTCTAGCAAGGGGTTGTACTAGGTGTGATCTCCTGAGGTCCCTTTCATCCTTATCTGTGATTCCGTGATACAGTTCTGTATTAAGAAAGGAGTTACTTAAAGTATGCCTCAGTCACAGTTCCTGAGCTTGATGTTTGTGTTTTAACAGTATGGCTGGGATCATTCAGTTCACAAAAGGAAAAGACTCCCCCCTGTGAAAAGGTCTTTGGTGTACTACCTGAAAGGTAGAGAAGTCAGGATGCAGAATGAATCCAGCTACCACCGTTTGTTGCGTGGATATGCAGCCCAGCAGCTCCCCAGTCTCCTGAAAGAGAGAGAATTTCATCTAGGGACCCTTAATAAAGTTTTTGCATCTCAGTGGTTGAACCATCGGCAAGTGGTGTGTGGGACAAAATGCAACACAGTAAGCATGATCTTTTTTTTTTTTTTGTTTCCTCTAATGTCTGACAACTGTTTTTCCCCTGCCCTTGCATATCACCATAAACATTAAATGTAGATTGCAGAAGGAAGTATTGGGAAGTAGCTGGAAGTAAAGTCAACTCACGTGCTACCTAATTCTAGATAGTTATTTATACTGTGCTCATCCCTTGTAACTGAGCACTGTGCAAATTGACATGAGTACAAGAGTAATGGCCTATATGTAGATCCAACCCCTCTTCTTTCCTTTAAAAGGAGGTTGGGGGGTGGAAACTAAACAAAATTTGGATATACTTGACCCTCACTTCAGTCCTTAGGGTGGCAGGTTTGTGCTTATTATAACCTTTTTGCAAAAGATGGCTCCCTGTCTCTGTCCTAACACAGCCCTATCTCCATTGTTCAATAGTCTCATTCTTGAACAAGTTGTAAGTACCTTACTGTGGCTTTTAAAAGGGCAGTGTAAAGATAAAATCTTCCACATAAGCTGCAGTTTCTTCAGCTTTAACATTTTATGGTCTTAATAACAAAGCTGAACTTGGGGGGAATAAAGATTCACTGTTTGTTTGTTTTTTTTTCCTTCACTTGGTTTCAGTCTTGGAACACAATGACATTCACAAGCTAGATCACTGATTATGCTCACTTCTAATAAAGGGAAATATTTTTAAGTCCTTGTGGCTTCAGTGTTTGATTTCAGACACAGGGGGGAAATGTTGAAATACAGTTCTAGGTAAATAAAACCACAACTGCTTCTTTTGTTCTGGTTGGACAAAATCCTGTCTCTGTTAAACCTGACAGCGAAACTCCCCTTGATTAAAACAGAACAAGGAATTTGTGCATGAGGCTTTTTGTGACAGTGGAAAAATAAAAGGTAGGCTTTATTTATACTGTTTTTTAGGTAAACTTCTGAATAAACTGACAGGTGCTGGATGAAGCTGGCAGATGAAACAGTGCCAAATCACCTAGGCTGGATGGCATATTAGAAGTTGATTTTATCTCCTCTTTATTTTTATTTTTTTTGCTTAAAGGCTTTGGAGAAAAGTGAGGAAATTGCATTTGACTGTTCTTCATGGGTAGGAGTAGTATTTCCCTATTTAAAATGGTCCTATTTTAACATTAAAAGAGTAGACCTTTTACAGTTTGGCATGTAAGAACTGTTGTTGAGAGTTAGTGGCCACCGATACGTAGGGTTTTTATTTATAACTGAAATTAACTTTTGAGCAGAGACTAGTGATGCTCTGTGCATGTTATCTTTTCCTGAGCCTATAGACAGAGCATCTCTTCTGGGAAAGTTTACAAATGAGATGTGCAGAAACATGGCAGACTCAAAATTTTGCCTTACCATTTCAAAAAGAAACTTGGAGCATTTATATAGCCATCACAGAGACCGAGACAAATGGGCTGTTGCCTAGTTAAGCCACCTTTGTGGAAAACTGTTTCTAACTTAATCATTCCAGCAACAAAGGGGGAATCAACATTACTTTTGTACCTGTACTCCATAGGCCTCTGTAAGTGTGAACTCCTGAGTCTGGTTCAGACCTTTGAATGTCTGATATTTGAACAGAGGCAGTATCCTTTATTAAAAGATGTACACTATTAAAAATGTAATAAAAGTCTTACTACTGAAAAATTCAGGAAAGGGAGGTTCCTACAGCTGCTTTGGTTTAACCATGTTGTTCGAGTATTACCTTTTTATATGTGTATCTAATGCATAAGATTTTATGCCATACATTGTTAGAAACCAGGAATAGAAAAATATAACGGAAAACCATCTGAGCCAAATTAACAATTTTAATTCAGCAAGGATGTTAAATTGTGCTATATTTCTTGGTATGAATCTGGAGTTAACTTCATTAACTTCAACACTACAGTGAAATTCCCATTGTTTACCCTGGATCAACAGAAAATTTTGACTAATAGCATTTACTTTTTAATCAGAGGTTAAGCATGTCACCAGCTGCATTTTTGTGTTTTAATATGCAAGTTGCCTTTAGCTATATCCATATGAACATTTTGAAAACTTTTACTTTAACCATAAAAAGAAGAGATACCAATGTACTATTACAGTTTTGACTACTTTTGATGAATCCACATGGTACTCAATTGGTCATTTTACAAACACTGTAAAAGTAATATAGATAGCTTTTAAGAGGAGCTGATTTTATACCATGTCAGTGATATAACGTGCTTATATAATTCTCTCTGCACTCAGTTTTTCGGGTTTTTTTCCTCTTAAAAATGTCCCTGTATAGCACATCTGAGAGCTGGATTATTGTCCTAGATGTGGATTTCACAATTGGCTAAAATTTTATAAATGAAGTGTTTGTCTCTGGCATAAATGATTGATAACTAATGTGTACATATCTTAGTGTAGTTCTCTGCTGAAATTTAAAAATGGCAAGAGGTCTGGGTTTCCCTGGGGCAGGTTCCTGTTTGTCATGCATAGGACTAGCACAGTGGGGCCTGTAGGTGTCGGTGCAATACAAGCATTGACTTACAGCCAGCATCCTCTCTTCACCCAAAGCACTGAGATTTATTTATTTTTTGCATATCTTTCAGAAAGCAATGTGAAATATAGGCATATCCAGGCTCTTATGCATCTGAGGGGCGTCTCTGCTCTTCAACCTTTAACTCAGGAAAGACTTCTTAAAATAAAAACTGGGATTGATTGTTTTGCAACTTCCTGTTGTTCTAGCAGTGCTGTGGTCAGAACTCATCCCTGAATGCACCAAACTATTCCAATTATAAGTCAACCCTATGTTTTTTACTTTTGGTGGGGGGGAGGAAGAGACAACATTTTCCCTGTAAATGCAAGTTGATAACTAAAAATAAAATCTGACCTCAAAAAATCTTTCAAGAGATCAAATAACCCTTGGGGTCCTTTCTGTGGTTAAATAGCCTGAAAATCCTAAAATAAAAATTCTGCCGAAAATGTGTCTATTTTTATTCCATGCTGAGAATACAAAGGTCGAGTTTGTTGGGGGCTCAACTATAGGTTGGTTCTCATATTCGCTGAGCGCTATTTTTATGGCCCTTTCTGGGAGGAGTAGTGAACTTTATAACTGGAGCAATATATGCTGTTTTGGTAGAAGCTAAAGGAGGTGACAGGCTGAGGCAGGCAAATACTAGAGATGTTAGAGTCACTCCATTTCTACAAGGCGGTCGCTGGTGGTTGACTTGCCTCTAGCAGAGGAAGGCAGTTTTTCTGAGTATTCTTCTTTCCCCCCCGCCCCCCAGTTAGGACTGAGAGGAAGTTGAGTCCAAAAATAGCTTTCTCTTAAGAGCCACATTCTGAAATCCTTCTGTCGGATGTCTCCTAGATTATCCTTTCTTTCCCAAAGTGCGTGGTGAAGCGTTCCCATTAGTCCCAGCGGTCCTGCCGCCACTGGTCACAGGCTCCTGGCCGTGCTTGGACATTGTCGTTTGTTCAGGAGGATCTGTGTCATCACTGTTCTCACTGGAGGCTTTCATCCCATGGGATCTATCCTGGGATTGTTAGAGCATATCAGATGGGACTTCAAGGTATTTTCTCCCTCTTTAAATGAGAAGACAAATGAGGCACAGAAAAAAAAAAAACTTCTGATGCTGCAGCATTTCAGTAGTAGAGGTACGATAACATGGCAGGTCCTATCAACTTTAATGGAGGCAGTTGTTGGTGGTTCCTGAGGGCAAAGCATGATTAGTTTTTACTTGGGAAGCCAATTTAAACCTTGCTGTGTTGCCCCCAGTGACTGGTATGGAGGACCTGAAAGAGGGCTCAGTCTCCTTTGTGAAGAATGAGCCAGGTTTGCATCTTGTAACCCTGCAGGCCTTGACTAAAGCTCACTTGATAGAGATTTTTAAAAGTCTTGTCATGCAAGGCTTCCACGTGCCCATCTTTCAGTTGCTGTTGGTAAATTATACGGTGACAGTGTCTTGTACCTGAGGAGCAGGTGGTCTCTCTTCTGCATCCCTTGCAATTTGTGCCAACATTTACATGTCCAGCCAACTTTGAGAAATTAAGCTTGGTGGTAGAGACCCAAGCAAAGCCAAACCTGTTGGGTATTGGGAAGGAGCGAAGAGAATAATGATAGCATAGCTACCGAGCTGCTGAACATGTGCAACTCCAAACCTGAGAGGGAGTTTGTAATGAAACTTGAGTGCCTTAGGGCACCCCCTTGAGATAACGATATGTGGTATCTGGTAACATGCGCTTTGCGTTTGAAACCTAATTTAGATCCTGCTGATATTGGCTCGGTCTAGATTTTTATCACTCCCATCACCCTGACATAAGACTGATGGAAGTTGCCTCTGCCTGCTTGTGACCTTCTCAAATAATTGTTCCCATGTGTTCTTCCATGTTGCCCCCCTCATACGTGGATTGGTCTCCCTGTAGTGATCCATGGAGTTTCATTCTTCTTATATTCTTTAGGGCCCACTGGTACTGCAAGACTTGTACGTGGAGATTTAGTACTGAAGAGGCTGAGATTAGTGCTTGTATCTGGTGGGTGAGAGTCATCAGTTTGAGAACATGGCTTTTGTGCAGATATGAAATTGTTGAAGAGCAAAGATAAATACATCATTTTAGCTATGGCACTTGTATTATCGTGCCTCTGGAGGGACCTGCTTGTGGACTGGAGTCCATTCTGTTTGATGCAAAAAGATGGTTCCTTCTCTAAAGAACTTGCCATCTAAGGACACAAGCAAGAGATGGATGTGGGAGCTTGAGAAAGCAAACTGTTAATGTGATGGGCAGTAGCATTAGTGAACCAGCATCCTGATGGGGTTTTTTTGTAGGTACTGTGACCACGAAGAGATTTAAGGATGCATTTGAAAGAAGATACAGTAGTTTGAGTTGTACAGTACTTTGAGTTGTAAATGCATTTCCGTTCTGGTTTGACAAACTAGCTATTGGCACTCAGTGATTTACTTTTTTACCAAGTCAGACAGTCTAAGCAATATATTTAAATACTAGAATGAATGACTAAAAATTATTTTAGTCTATGCTTA